GAAAATTGCCCTGATTCATTACGAGATCAGGCACAGGTGTGCATTCATAAATGTACTCATAAATTTACTCATATGTCTGTGTAGCATGGGAAATTAGACTTCAAGGTTTCAAACCTTTAGATTTGGAGATTTCTGTAGAACACTTCTCAGTAATGAATCAGAAGTTCCTTGCTTTCCAGTGTTTTACCTTAAAGTATATATTTGCTGAAATATTTCCTGAAGTGCTCACCCAGTGTGTTTGGTGTCTGTGTTCTCCTAGGTATAAGGGGACTTTTGGGGCATTTCTGAGGTTGTTGTGGAACATAGGGAAGACGTTTGCAGGGGAAATGATACTTTCCATGCGGGAGGGGGTTTTTAAGAATAAATGCAAGGCACATCTGTGGGGTAATCTCCTCTCCAGCTTGGCCTGTCCCATCTTCACTGACTCACTCTAAGCTGGCTCATGTGGTAGGCCTGACTCTTTGGTGCAGTCGTGTGGCATTGTTCTGTAGGAACTAGATTAACTCGGGGTATTTATATTTTCTAGGTTTCTGGGTATTTTGAAAACAGCAAGTCCCTGACTTACGAACAGGTTCCATTCAAAGAGAGTCGTTTCTAAGTCAGACTTGTTTGTAAGCCACCAAAGTAAGTCTTACACAGCACACCTTAAAGTTCCAAACTCCAACCTTTGTTAAGTCAGGGACATATTTTATTTCTTATTCTGGGAGAAAGTGATATTCTTCTTTGTGTGTCGGGCGTATTTCACTTAGCATAGCCTCCATGAAGAAACCAGTCTGTTAAAGTAACAAGCTTACTGGGCCCCAGAGCGACTGAAGCTCAATACCTGGGGCTCTGGCTTGGGAATCTCCCTTTTTCAGAGGAAACCCAAGTGATTCTTATGAACAGCTGCTGCCTTCTTCCTTTACTTGTCTTAGGTTGGCCTGCACCTGATTTAATCCTTTAACCCCCAGCAAGCAGTACTTGGCTCCTTCTGTCTTGGGAACAGCACTGGCCGAGGCTACTGGGAGGCGCGATCCAGAGGAACACCCAGAACCTCACTGTGCTCTGGGGCTGACAATATCACTCAGGAGATTAATAATAATAGGAAGAGGCAGGAGGCAGTAGCGCAAGTCCTTAATCCTAGCACTCTGGGTGGGGGCAAAACATCTGCAAGGTCCCCCTCATGTTTACCGGCTCCAGTCAAGCCCTCCTGTCCTAGGTTCCAGATCGGGATGCTTTCTGGAATCCCAACAGGATGCCCAATCCCACCTGCTTCCTCCCTGCTTCCATCCCTGCCAGCAACAGCAGAACCAAGTGGGCAGGGCAGCAGCCACTGGGGGAGGGGATGGAGGGTGCAGAGAGCTGCTGTTCTGCAGGAGGGCATCACCCTCCCCATGGAGCCCTGCTCCAGCTGCCCCAGGCAGTGCAAGGAGCTGCCTGCCCCTCCCCTCCCCCATAGTGCTGTACCCCAGGCTCCAGGGCACTCTGGCTGCTTCCTGCCCAGGCCTAGCCCTCCCAGAGTGGACTGCCTCCCTCAGGCAGCAGGAGTCCCCACTGTCCATGGGGCCCTTGTCCTGCTTGTCCACCCTGCTGCTCTCCTGCTGGGCCAGATTCCCTAGCTCCTCCTTGCACGTGGGCTGCTCCAGTGTCCCTCGGATGGGGGCTCTGGGGGCGCCTCAACGTGTCCATGGTCCAAGGCCCTCACCTCGGAGGTCCCAGCCACTCCCAGTACCTCAAACTCAAGCTGCAGTATCTGCAGGAGCACTTGGCCAACTTCCAGGAAAAGCCACCGTCTGTGGAGCAGGTCAGGGATTTGCCCAGTGAACTCAGCCTGGCCAGGACATGGTGCTGGATGGCCTGTGGCTGGCTGATCTACAAAAGCTAAAGCTGCTGCACTGCCAGCGTGACCTGGTGCAGGTGGAGCAGCACACACTGGCACAGGATCTGCCTAGTACTGCTAGGTCGGAGACAGGGCTGTGGCTTGGCTGGGCCCTGGAGATAGCTGCTCCAGCTTCCCCTGGTCCCCAGGAGCCCAAGGCATAACTCCCCAGGCTGGCCCAGTGGTTTGCATCATCCTTGCCTGTGGTCTGCAGGCCCCTCCCAGCACTTTGCTCTGAGTGCCTCTGGACTTAGGAGAGAGATTTGCTATTGCTCCCCTGGTAATGGGGTACCCCTCTCAGGCTCCAGCCCTTTAGAGAGAGGTCGGCTGGTGATCCCACAGGCAGCCTGAAGCCCTCACCCCAGAATCCTGCTGGCAGCAAGGGCGTCCAGGGGGCACAGACAGGGCCAACACAGGGCCATGTCTCTGCAGCTTGGAAGAGGAGACTGGAAAGGGGAAGGACTAGAAGCCCAGCCTCCTGTCCCTGGGGAAGGTGAGTTTGCGCCTCGATTGGGTTCTGCTCCCCATCCCTTCCCTGGTCTGTTGCAGCGATTAAGAGATTGGAGAGACCAACGGGTGAAACAGGAGGATTTGTGCAGGTGCCCACCAGCTCAGCAGACTCGTGTCCAAAGGCTGAGCCCAGAGCAGAGGAAAGGGTCTAGCTTTTCACATGTTGTGGAGGGGGTTGTTTTACCTAAAGGCAGGAAGCTTGTGGACAGAAGCAGAAGGAAGTCAGTCAGTCAAGCTATGACAGCTGTGTAACTTAGCAGATCTTGGTGGCCTTGGTCAGGTAAAAACGGGGTCTTATGAGAACAGGAGGTTGTGAAGCCTTCCTTACAGGGACAGAGTTACTAATTTTCTTTGTAATAGAACAAAGAACAATCACCTTGGGAGAGGGAATTCTACATGGGAAGCGCCCAGGCTGGGGAAACTTGTTTTCCTTCTTTTTAAAGCGCTGCTTCATTCTGCACATCCTCGGTGGCATCCGTGGGCACGAGGAGGCAACAGGTGCTCCTGAGACTGACTGGGAGGGCCAGTCCCTTTCTTATCCTGAGCATCCCATCCCTTGTCTTGCTGCCCCCCACTGTCACACCACCAAGATGTGGAGGATGTCACCCTGTCCCACCTGGAACTGGAGCAGAGTAGTGAGTCCCTCCTTGGCAGATGGAATCAAGTCCTGCAGAGGCTGCAGCGGGAGAAGAGCAGGCCTGGCTGTCAGGGGAGGAGGCTTCTCAGTTCGGGGTGGCCGGGCTGGCAGTGACACAAGCTCGGGAGGAGGCCCCTGTGTGGAGGGGAGGAGCCCCCCCTCCCCGGAGTGAGAATGAGAAGGGAGATTTGCTGGCCAGAGGCCCCCTCTCCCAGCTGGTGCAGTTGGTTTGACTCCCACTGGGCGCCACCTGTTGGTCTGCACCTGAGCTGCACTGGCCAGGTGATGCCCTCCTGCTCCACGGACAGTGGCTTCTCTGGGAAGTTGGCCAAGTGCTCTTGCAGATACTGCAGCTTTAGTTTTGAGGTACTGGGAGTGGCTGGGACCTCCGAGGTGAGGTGAGACGCGTACACACGCACGAGTAACTCTTACTGCAATGCAACCAAGTACAGAAACCTGTTACGAGAGTGTCTGTAAACAACACTTGTCAGGCAATTCTCCACGCTTTCCCTATGGACCCGAAGTGGGTTTGCTCCAGAACGGCAGGTAGTGCGTGGACACCAAGGTAGCAGGGTGACAGAACATGCGGGGAAGCCCAGCTGACACATTACCAAGCTAAGGTCAGCTCGGCCCGGCCAGCTCTGAGCACGGGCTCATCCCCTTCCTCACGTCTAATACTCTCGCACATGCTGCAGAACCAGTCCACTGTGTGCATGTATAGGACCCTCAAAGCTCTTTGTCTTCAACCTGACCTGTTTATTTTTAACTTCAGCTCCTCTTCTTCAAAGTACTGTCTGTGTCCTTGGCAATTATAGTTATGACATTCTTTCTAGTAACTTATTTATTCTACTTTAGGGACAGAAATTTACCAGGTCTTAATGTGAACTTCCCATATGGGGCAGTTATTTTCAGAATGTGCCAAATGGGCCCATTTTGCTTCTTTACAGTTTTTTTTCTTAAAACGTTACTCATCCACAATATTTGAAAATTTCAATATGCTCAAATATGACCTGTGGTATTGAAACCATCCGCAACAAAATACCCAGTCGCTCTCTGATCAGTACGGGTCTTGCCTGGTGCCATCCATTCACACTTAAACCACTGCTTTGATGACGGCCCTGAATTCTGTGCTAGCCTCTCAAACCACAAGCATTCCCATACATCCAAGAGTCTTGCTAACAGTAGGGCAAGCAGTTACGGAAATACACATGCTTTCATCTACTTAGGGTCGGTTTCTTAAAACTGAAGTCGGGTTTGCAACAGGCAAAAACTGCTTTTTCAGATTAATGGGCACATTAAATTTTGCAAATCATTTGTGTTTTAAAAAACATTCAGCTCAACTGGGAATGCTATACAAACACAAGATTCTGTGATGATTCTTTTTCTAAGCCAATAAACCTTACAAAATACATTTTAGTATGGAGAGCATTCAGACTACATACACTATCATTGCAATGTGCAAATGAAATATTTTTAAAAGTAGGTAATGTAGCATTAGAATTTATTTTTGAATTCGAAATATGCTATAAATATATAGTTAACTCTCCACAACAGATGATCTAGCCTGATAAAATGCGGACATAATTAATACTATGTTTTGCATGTCACAACATATTAATGAAAAACAATTAATTGCCTTTATTATTTAATGGCATGTACTACTTTAACTGCATGAAGATAAAAGAAAATGAATAGAGTTGTATAACAATGACCGGAGCTCTTTACAGACAGAATATGTGAATCAGTCAAGACAGCAGGTCAGGAAGGATCAACCTGAACTGTAGAATTAATTACGTGACATACCTGTACCAGCTCCTCACGAGGAATGTAAACACTGTGTACTGTAAACATGTACCAATGAAAAAATAAACTGAAAAATATAAAG